CCGTAGATCATAGTCGAACATAAAGAATTCGCGGTACGTTTGCCGCAACAGCGAGTAAAAGTTCATTTGACGGAACTTGGTTGGCTCCCAAGGATTTGCACTGGAACTGTTGGTGTTGTTTTGCACGCTCTTGGACTTCTGCATCAGGCTATCCGCGTCCTCGGTTATGTAATCAATTTGCAGGACAAACGATAAACTATGATTTGTAAGGCTGCTGTCGCCCTGAGAAGGCATTTCCGATTCATCCGCCTCGTTGACAAAGGTCAATAGGGCATAGTGCCACGAATTGGGCTGCACGCCAAACGGAATCGAGATTTCCGTCGTCTGGTTTGGCCGGATGATGGTGCCGTGGCCATGATTGTGATCCGTACCGCCCAGTGGATATCCGTTGGCCCGCACATGGAAGCCCACCGGCGGACACTCGTCGCACACTTGGTCGAATATTATCCGTGCGGTAGCATCGCCTATATCGTCTGGCACATAGAATCTGTAAATGATTTCATTGTTTGCGGTCGGTGTGCTGTTGTGGTTTTCCGTGATATTTTGCAACTGAGCAGCTCTGCTGGGTTTGCCCTCCGGAAGGGATTTGGATGCGGCTTTCGGTTTCTGCTGCTTGGGCGGAATGGAGCGCAGCGGTCTGGAGGTGTTAAGTGCATCCTTCAAACTGGTCATATTGGCTCCATTCAGTTCGGGCAGAACTTGACTTGTTAGGTTGTCCTGGTGCTCCTGGCCATTGTTTATGATTATCGGACGGAATCGGGAAACGGACATCTCGGCGGACAGCAGAGTGTCACATGAGGCAGCGAGTCCTGCAAAACAGAAATTAAATTCATAAATATGCATGGGTCTAAACACAATGCCGAAATCGTCACAATCGGATTTTTGCATATTCAAAAGGCTTTTATCTCTGGGGTAACAAAGTCAATTTTTAAAAATAACCAAAAGCAAAAAAAAAAAACATATCACAATGTTAGGACTTTTTTTATATCCTGCTGCAGTGTCAATTAAATATTTGCATACTTTGAAAGCAATCAATAGTTTAGCTGAAATAGAGGTAAAAGTCTGCAAATGGAATACAGAAATACCTTGTTGTTCAATGCGGTCATTATTGGGATCTGACCAACTCACAAATGCCACCGCAAACCAGTTGCCTATATGAGGTCCTTCAATGGTAATGCGCTGCTGCTGCTCGTTGGATAGAAACTGTAGGTCATATACCTTAAATCTGAAATAAATTTAATTCAGTTCGATACGTTTGCAATGAGTCTATGCACTTTTACGCACCTCTGATCCTTGGTAAAGAAGTTCTTGGGAAAGGTTATGTTCTCTGGACTTATCACTGGATAACTGCTCGCCTTCAGATGCAGCGTGACATCCTTGGGCTTACACTTGCGTTCTAACAAATAGGATGTACTAAGTGTTAAGTTGCTGTAACTTTTGTATTTATAATACTCACGAAAGGCACTTTTGGGATCCTCGAACGCCTTGAATGTGAAGTAGGCAGTTCGCGAATCGGGTGGAACATCAAAATGCAGGATGGACACATCCTTGTAGGATGTGTATTTGAGCAGCGAGTTCGACGGCAGTCGGACCACCAGTTCCTGATCCTCTGGCAATTTGAGTTCCTCAATCGGCACATACTTGGTGTACTCATCCGAGGGATTTTGCAGTACCGGAACACTTGAGTCCACAATTAGCCGCTGGTCGATTAGTAGTAACATGAAGACCACCAGAGGACTGAAGTTTGGGCGATGCGTGAGTATTTGAATCATTCTGTCCTGGTTAGCTCAATGTACGTAAGCTACAAGTAATGGTAACTCCTGGAATGAAAACAATCGGACTTAATGGGCCATTATTTAGTTGAGTATTATGTAGAAAAAGGGCACATTTGCTTTATGTATGATTTAAAGACCATTCTGCTTAAACTTTCATTCCAGTAATTTGTTTTTATTTCGCGTGCCATTTCCAGGAGCAAGTTGGCTCAACTAGAATGGGCCACATAGAGGCCATGGTTTTGTGCCCGCCGACAAACACAAACGCTGCGGACATGGATATAATGCTGGGCCTACGGATGAGCATAAATGTACATATTCCCACACCCAAAAACTTTTTGGCACAAGTACAGACATAAAGCCCTTTTGTTAGCTTGTGCAAGTAAATTGCACCGTTGCAAAAATGCCAAATTCCGGCCCATTTATGTGGCGCGACCAAAACCAATGTGCATTCGGTGCCGTGGAGAACTTGTCCGGCAAAAACCGAAAATAAAAAACTTCTGCACTCGATGCGGTGTCGCTGGGCCAGAATTGTGCATTGTTGGCTAACACCTACTTTAATTTATGGCCGACTTGTAGCCCCAAAGCACTCAAGAGCTATCTCGACCAGACTGCAGACTATCCGTGGGCTTACCTCGTGCCCAGCAAAATTGATACTCCACCACATAATCTGTCACATAAAAAAGCATATTGAGCCGAAACGAACGATTATTTATCAGCTTGATTTATCCATACCTTTTGCAGTTCTACATCAATTTATTTACACTTAACAAGCGGAATTCTATATTGCTTATGAGCTATATGCATCTATATTATGCCTCGTTTTGAGCGAGCTTTTAATTAGCCAACGTATGTGTTTTCTGTATCAGAGATGCGAAGCGACTGGCGCATGCTGTTTCGGTTTGTAGAATTCGTGTTTGACCTAAGGCCTTATCAGTGCCACTCAATTCGCTTATCAAATGGTTGTGGAAGCATTTTCTTATCAGTTCAGCTTTGAGCTCAGCCAGTGTGTCAAAACAATGGGCTGTTCACTCGAATATTTAGTTGGCACCGTATGTGAATGTGAATTATTGATGTGTAAATGATGCAGCAATGTGTCTCAATTTAAAACATATGCTTTTGCTGATAATATATGTCTCGTTGCTTATTCATCAGGCTGAGCTTTATATCGTATATCAAACAAATTATGTTCCATCGAGAAATGACATCCAACTGTGCCGGTTGCTCGTAGACTGAAAGTATGAGCTCAGCTCACCTGTTTTTTTTGTTTATACTGCTCGCAGATTGCAGGTTTTGAAGTTGGCAAGACTTTTGAATGTGTCTTAAGAGACGTTTTGAACTTTTTTCGCTAGCACTGACCCGCGGGGAAAATCCGGGTGACGCATTCGAGTTTACAATGCAGTTGGCCAAACAGGTAAGTATGCTGGCACTTAGGCAAATAAGCTGTCGCGGAAAAGCTTTGTCGACTTGTTTTGGAACTTCCTCGGCGTTTCCATTGACGACGCTGCTACTGCCATCGACCGCAGCCCAGATATTGGATGGTCGCAAAACAGATAAGGGCTTTGATTAATGAATGGGGCTCGGCGCACTAAGCTTTATTGTTCCAGGAAAGTGGGGGAAATCCCAAGGCGAAAACCTGATGAGCTTGGGGTGAGCGCTTAGTAACAGGAACATACAGGAACATATGATTCGGCCTGGTCTTAGTATGCAGAATTTACATGGGAATGTAAGCTAATATGTAAGTGAAACATATTTCTCAACAAGCCTTAACGCTTATTAATTATTATTTACTCTTATCAATGTCTAATTTGCATTCATGTTCACATTAATGTACCCCAGCTACTGATAACTCTATTAATATTATTTCCCCGATCCACAAACATAATTCCAAGGGAGGCAGATTCGTGGAGAGCGCAAAGAGAGGCTCTCGCAAATGCGATCCACAAGAGAGCGAGTTCAAGTTCGTTTCTTGCGACGGCTAAACAAGTTTTTCGTTTGTGAGCGCATCGAGCGAGCGGATACTTTGGGAGAGGTCTTTGGAACTGGGCTGGGGCGATCCATAGCTTCAGTTGTCAGTCCGCCGAGTGGTTAAACGCATCGCCGATCAAGTCCCGCTCTGGGATCGCCCCATACGCAACCCGTGAAAGTTTGTGGATACCAGTTTCAGTGGCTTTGTGTACGATCTATATATGTGAAATTCAGCGAAAATCCCACCCTAAAAAAAAAAGTAATAATGGCTGGAAATGAAAATCAAATTTAAATTATAGATTATGTGCGTGTGGGTGACTCACTGTTACCAAAAAAGCATCCGCGTGAACTCGATAATTAGCATATTGGAGTGGCCTCTTTTGTTGGCTCAAAGTGGATATTTATATAATTAAATGATGAGCTTTTATTTTACACTCTTTTATGGAGTGCAAACACACCTCACCTCGGGGTTTTTCTTCAGTTTCTAAACTTCCTTGTAAATTATTTGAATACACAAAGCATTCCCAAGCCGCTCTCTTTCGACCCAATCTATCTGCCTGCGATCTTAAACTATGTGAGCGTGTACATATACAGCTGCGGACAAGGAAATACAAGATTCGACTTTTGTTAAAACTAGCTGCCAATCCATTTCATAAGTACTCTATAAAAGATTTAAAGTACACCAGTTCAAAATGCCCAAAGTTATGTGAATGCATTTCAATATAGTTGACTATTTTGTAGATTCTTCCTCAGTGTTAAATGCGTTGTCGCTGCTATTACTTTGGCCGCCGCTGTTCGTACATATATTGGGGTTGTGCTCGGTTGCCCAGTTTGTTTTGCTATTGCGCCATGCACCCGATGCCGACCGTATACGTCAAAAAGAGAAATCGCCGACCCGCTTCATGACGCGCAGCGTCTTAAGTTATATTTTCTTTTAGTTGGGCGTGATGTGTGCCCTTCACTTAAATATTTCGACTATCATGTGTACAATATGCTGGTTCATTTCAACCAGTTGGCAGTGGCACTTGCACACAATTTCCGTGCTTAAACAGAAGCCTGTTTCCTCTTTGTTAATTTAATAAAACCCATTTCTATGGAGGAATCTGCAGAATGCGGACGACACAAACTCCCACGCGTTGATGTTTTTTCTTTTTTCGATTTATTGGAACACGTTGCGCAGCAGCTTTTAATTAAAATTTCATCACCTTGTCTCAGTCCTCGGACATCTGGCAGGCTGCCTTTTAGGCGGTTGATTGCGCAATGGTTTATCACCATCACAACCACGAAAGTCGGATAATACACTGCAGAAAACAATTAACTACCTGGCGGAGGAGAAGCCTGCTGTTGACCATCATTGTGGTTACAGCAACAGTGCTTTCACTGATTTCACAAGAAGGTAAGAGTTATTATTTGCTTCCTTTCCTATGCGCTCTATTAAATGAATATTCTGTAGGGCCCTATTATTATTATTACGGCTGTAATCAAGCATACACAATACAATTATGTTGACAGTAACACCCTTAACACGTCCATCTAGATTATCTATAAGATTGGCTACATGAGGGTAGCGGGTCAATAGTCTACGCCTATCTTGATGCCGCAACACGTTAATGACCACAATATTGATGCGTAATTGGTGCCCGAAACAATGCGAATCGCTCTTGAAATCCCACAATGGTCCAATTGTCCCCGTGGGCGAGAAAAACACATGGATTTGAGCAAACAGTACATTCAGCCTTGACCGTGAATGTTTCACCAGCTTAATAGGCGACATTTTAGCGAAGGCGTTTAATTCCCGGTGTTTGAACTCTTAATTCGCCTAATGGATCAGGAAATAGATTAAATTCAGTTTTCATTTCAAATAAAAACCAATCAATTAGGTATGCAAATCTGAGTTCAACAACATATTTGCAATGTTTTCGGTGCCCATTTGGAGCATTTTTCGCAATTCAGTACTATTTTGATTCGTTTCGCAAGCAATTTAATGTTTTCGGTGGAATTAACAATTTAAATGCATTTTTGCATATATACCTTTCCTCAGAGAAGTAGCAAATAATAATACTATGATTGCTTTCAAGCAATTATCTTTTCAAAAACAAAACGACTCGATTGGAATTAATAGTTGAGGGCAGATTTGACTCGTTTCCTGGCGATACATTTTTCAAAATATATATTATTTAAAATTCTCTTTATGAATATGGCTGTCGAGCCGAAGCTCACGCACACACAACTCATCAGCATATTGTGCAACATTTAGCTGAAACGGAACATTTCTGCGAGCATCGTAATAAATGGCAGTCGTGTACATCTGGATGTGGATGGGCTTACACGCGGACAGAGTTAAATCCGCCCGAGACAGTGTTCCAAGACCTCAGACCTGTTTGGCCACGCAATCCGCAGTGCAAAAACATGCTGCTCACTTAAGCGGCGCCGTCAGACACGCTGTTGGCCAAAATAAAAAATAAGACTCTCCTTTGGCCGTTCTCCGGGTTACAGACGCACACCACGCCATGTGGATGTGGCCTTATAGCCATGTAGCCATATAGCCATATAGCCATACATCACGTATACGTATACGTTACATGTGTGCGCATTTGTATCTGAAGGTCGAGCGCCAGCAGAAGAGATACAAGTGCAAACAACTCAACCGGTTATCACGTCACGTCGCTTAGGTCCATTGAATGATGCTTATGGCTGACTTATGGAGCGCCAAGAAATCAACTGAATATGCGAATATTTCACGGACATTCTCGGTGGACAATGAACCGATTGATATTCGCTAGAAAAACTACCACTTACATATTTTCCCCCCAGATGTTGCAATCTGGCCCTCACCCAAATGGAAGGGGTAGCCTTTGTCTGCACTTGGCACGCGTTCAAAGCGATTCCCAAGTGGGAGACATCCGGGTCAATAGCTGGCACTCGCAGTATCCGAATGAACTTGGCTGCCAACTGTTGGCCCATGGAAATGCGAGTAAAGTCGCTGCCTTAACCAATTAATCGCTGTGTCGTCATCGGTTTCGACGACGGCTTTCAATGGATTTAATAGGTGCCTGCTGTGAGATTACAACGCAAGTTAATCGCTTCACATGTGCACTCTGCTTTTAAGTGATATTTCGTTTCTAGGAAGGGCTTTTCCAGTGAAAAATTAACTTTTTATATTTTATTTCCCTTTCATGACTTGACATCCAACAGTTACTACTATATTTGTTTATATTTTGTATGCAAACAAGTTGTGGGATTTTGCTATGAATTAGGAATGTATTAACAAAATAAAATACTTTGAAAAACCGGTACTGTAGCATCAGTGAATCTGGCTTATGTACAATAACCTGTTGTTCGTGAACATGCTATAAAACTGCATTTTAATATTTAATGTACATTTTCAGCTGAAGCCCACAATCAGAATGCACCTCCGATTCTATATGTTCGCGAACGCAACTGGCGCATTTCGGAAACCGAGAAAGTTGGCCAGGTAATCGATAGAGTGCGGGCGGAGGATCCGGATGGCGATGATCTGATATTCGGAATCGAGCCACGATTTAGTCTGCCTGGCGGTGAAAACGATGCTAGTCCTCCGGAGAAAATCCCCTTTCAAATTGATAGAGAAACGGGAGTGGTAACGCTCAACGAAAGTTTGGCAGGAAGGGTGAGTAAAATGAATGAGTACATCCATTCGATACGTTTTCAAATGGCATTGCTAATTTAATTCCTAGGCTGGTCAGAATTTCCTCATCTATATAACTGTTACCGATGGCTCCTATACGGCAAAAAATGAGGTTTTCATCAATATCTTGGGCGAGCGGGAGAATAGCTCTGGCTATCGACCGCAGACATCAATTTCGAACGTGGTGCACAATATATCGCAATTCCTTCCACGTTTCGACCAGCTGCCCGGTGTTCAATCCATCCGGAATGGGCTGCCCAACAGCCGACCAGGTGGCGGTGGATATCCACCGGTGCCCCAGAACAATATATTCGGTCCGCCGCCATTCGGTAACTACTACCCACCGCCACCGCCGAATATACACGGCCTGCGGGGAGAGCAGAGTGGGGAAGCGGAGCAGCCGGATGAGGAGGTGACACACACAACACCAGTCAGAGGTCCAGCCAGGTCCACCACGCCGAAGAGTCGCACCAAACTGACGCCGATAACAGCCAATAATTCAACGAGGCTCGATTCCGCAATCCCCGCGGAGACAACGACACCGAGTGGCGGCCACCATAATAACAGCACCAGTTCCATCACCATTTTCTCCCTCAAGTCCGGCACTATTCCTATTGTGGTCACCGTGGGCGGTTTCTTTGCCGCCATCGCCGTGCTGCTGGCGTACTTGTGCCGCCGACGCCTCTGCGCCATCAGCAGGACCCTCAAGAAGACCAAGGAGAAGGAGGAGCTGGCCAAGAAGTCCAACCAGAGTCAGCTGAGCAGCACGCTGACCGACGACAGCCGCAACTCGATGGTCATGCAGCAGTGGCAAGGACCTGTGGCCTTCGCCAATCGCTATGTGCCCTGGGAGCGGGATCAGCAGATGGGCATTGTGAGTGGAGTGCTACCTATATTAACTAACAAATTCCAGCCACTGACATTCCGGTGGCTCCTCTGCAATGCGGTTACTTTGGTAGGGTATCTCCTCTAGGGTAGTCCTTTTATGGGGTTTTGATAACAATTTGATTATAACTCGGTAAGCAAGGAATTATTCAAACGGAGTAGAAAGGAGGAAGAGAAACGATTTAGTAGCACACTTAACAAAGGCATTTCAAGGAAGTAAAACGAAAAGCTGGAAAGCGGGAAAGCGGGAAAGCGTTTTAGCTTGCTGCAACGCAATCTAAAATTCATATTTCACAGAAGGTCCATTTGAAATGATTGCATAAAATTAGTGGGCGATGCAGTAGAGCTTATGCAAATATCGATTGAGTTTTCCCCGTGCTGGGCACTCTGGGAGTGATTGGGGCTTAGGGCACGGAGTCCCTAATCGACAGCTACTCCAGCGCAGATTTCAACCTCAGTTGGCTCACTCAACGCCTCCGCAGAGGAGTGGCCCTCGTCCTTTGGTCCTTGTGTCCTTTGGCCCCTGTCGCCCACAGTATCCACGAAGGCAGGCAGTGTAATTGACAGGAAAAAGTAGCTCAATGCAGCTGCCTGTTAGCTGGGAGCCCTTGGCGTCTGCTGGGAATGTCCTTTCATTCGATTCCCATTTATTGACAGCGAATGCCAAAACTTCACCAGCGCAAACCGATCCGCGCGTAAAAATTTTGACATTTTGTGGTGCTGACAGCTGCATGGGCTTTATTTTGAAATTCAACATTTCAGCACTTCGTTATGGCAGTGGAATTTGCATACGTTAAGCAATTCATTGCATTTTGGCTAAGGCTTAAATATATTTTTAAAGTTAGACCTCCCCTGTTAATTGCAAAAGCTATGTCACTATAGATTTCAAAGTTCCGCTCCTATTTTGTGAAACTTAAATGTCAATCAAAGTTTAACCTAGATTTTATGCCGTCACCATTTTAACGTGGTGACAACCAGAAGGGGATCACAACTAATCAAAGTGTTTTCTTCTTATTTTCTGAATCCTGTGCGCGACACAAATGTCAACATCGCTGGCATTTCCGCTCACCTGGACACTGCACAACTGCCATCGATGCTGCCGCTCGAAGGCAACGTCCCAGTTATCAACAGGTGTCACCAATGGCGGGGACTCCTCCGCCGGAGGAGTGCCCACTCCCGGGACAGGTGAGCCGGGCACCAACTTGGGCCCGGGCTGCGTGGCAGGTGGAGCAGGAAGTTCCGGCGCACCGGAAAACGCTTTTGCCGGCGAGGCCAACTGCGACCGCTGGGAATTCCCCAGATACCGATTGAAGTTCTTCAATATTTTGGGCGAAGGAGCCTTCGGACAAGTTTGGCGCTGCGAGGCCACCAACATAAATGGTAAGTGTGAGTGGCAAATAAACTAAATAAGTTATACATTTGTTCGGACAAATAGGTATAGGTATCTGTACCGCAGTGCAACCATTCATATCCTTTGGGAAGGATTAGGGTCATTACTCTTTCCAAAACTAAATATTAGTAGCCAATCGATTTTGATAAAATATATTAGGGCATATTAGTGCTACCTAGGAAATGGTATCTTTGCTTTGATTAAATTCCCATTAGAGGCAGCTCTGAAAATCCACGAGATCCATAATTTCAACGGAGTAATTTCATCAATTTCGGCGTGATGCCGAAAGGAATTTAAAATGGAGCAGATTGTGCATTCAATCAGCGGAGTTCCACAAAGCTACTGGCTCATGCAATCCGGCAGTTGTTGGCCCAAATTCGAGTGCTCAGGTGGTGCAAAATTGTGCATGTAGGAGGGGGAATGGGAGTGGGAGTGGCAGGAGGTCCTCCACCCACTCGATATACCACATTCCAGAGCTCCACACTGAGCTCTTTTTTATGAGCACGTAGAGTGGACTACAAAACGAAAGGCAAGTGATTTCTGGATTTCTATAAAGGCAGACAAATAGCCTGGGCTCCTACACGTACATATGTGAAAGCAAAGCAATGGTAAGCTTTAAATATGGAACGGGTAACGAGTGTGGGTCTTTGTGTGATTTGAAAAGGTAAATAGGACACACCTGACCAACAATAATTATCTACTTGCAGGCAACGAAGGCATTACGACAGTGGCCGTGAAGACGCTCAAGGAAAGCGCCACCGAAGTGGATCGCAAGGACCTTCTGTCCGAACTGGAGGTGAGTTGGATGGCTAATCGCGTAATTCTGGCGAATCAGCATTTACAATATCTTAAATCAACCGAAAAGGGTATGCAAAGCAGCGACAAAATCGTTACAACATCCCATGTTGGCTCGATTTCTCGGCTGCCTTTTCCTCTGTCACTTTTCATTCAATTGGTCGCCGTCGCCTTTCCCGCCCGGGGGAAAAAAGGAGAGGAGGAAAATATCCTGACAGACTCGCTAACTCGACGACTGAGTACTGAGAATACGGAGAACTGTGAACGGAAAACTGGGAACTGGGAATGGGGAACTGGGAGGGCTGTCGGGGCAAATCTTGCGAGTTGGTTTTTCTGGTTAGATGAAAAAGTTTTGTAAATTGAAAATTAACGATGCTGAAAAGTTTCGAAAGAATTTCTTTCTGGCTCCTGCTGCCACCAGCTATTTCCCCTTGAGTTTGGATTTAATGTTTGCCTTTTTAATGAAAACGCAAAGGAGTCCACTTATGTGTCTCACTCCAGAAAGTTTCAAAATGTTTCCCTACCTGCTGCCAAGTTTGCAATTGCAGCTGTATTTAGCTAAATTCAGGAATATAATTTGGCTAAGTGGTTCTGTGTGCTGGGCAAATTCCAAGAATATCCACCTTCTTTATGCTCGACCTGAACACTTTTTTCTTGACCACTTTTCGGGTAGTCACTGTACAGTTCCTTGTCCTTGGTTTCTGTCAAAAAGTGCCCCATTCAAGAGTTTTCTAATCTAAAGTTGGCCGATGCCTTTCTCCACTTTGGTTTGCCTGTCATTCGGTTATTGTACTTTTTGTTTGCTAATTAGCACTGTTGGACACTCTCATCTTGTTAAAATGTTATTTACTGAATTAAACTTAAAGCCGAACTTGGCAAATGCAATTTGAGCACGGTCCCAATGTGGGGTAAATGCCAATTCGAATATTGTCTGCCTTATTGCATATTCATGTTCGCCAAAAATACTGCGACAAAATGATTAATTTATGCCCTTGTAAGTAGCCCGGTGTCAGACGTGCATATTAAATGAGCTGGATCCTTGTGGGCTTACATGTGCGAATACTCCGAAAAATCATCGATATCCAGTCTGCTGGTTTTCGGCTTTAAAAAGTGCCTTGCCCACGGGCTCAAACGCCTTTGAGTTGTGTAGATCCAAGTGCGCCGAGCTGCACATTTGTCCGCAATCAGTGGACTAAAATATTTTCATTTCGTGGCGAATCAATAAATTTGATTGTAGTGGTCGAAGGTCCTTTGTTCGGGCGCATTTATGTCCTGTAATGGCATCAACACTTTCAGCCATTTGCATACTCGTGCAAGGCAATCAAAGAAGTGTTGTCATGGCAATTACTCGCCACTATCGCATATACTTGTACATATATCTGAATTTCAACAATAGTAAGCCAAACGCAAGCCCGCAATGATAGTGACACAGGAGCTAGGGCCATTTTCCGTATCGATTAGCATTTACATACTATACGCGGGTGCATTATTATTACCTCTGGTTTCGCCGGGCTGGAAAAGTCGATGGATGGCTAATGAGTTCAGCATTTGGGGGCACTGAGGAGCATTAATTCAACGCACACACAAACACGCACCGCACTCATTTCGGGCAAAACTATTTCGACAGCAGTTGCGGGCTGTAAACACACGGAGGAAACTGCCGCAGCCTTGCAAAAGTACGAGAAAAAAAGTACTTTTCCGGATACCAAACACAATCCGAACTGTGCGCTCCGGCGCCTTGAAACAAACTGATTCCTGTTGCTGTTCCTGCCTGCAACAAAATAATGAACAAACAGAAACAAAACGAAGCACAGCCTCCTCTCGCCTGAAGGACCAACATCCCACATATACTGGCATCTCTCGGAATCCGAGACTGCGAATCTCGCAGGACCTCCAATCTCTCGACCTGCGCAGTGCAACTTTCGGAGTTCGAGACCTTTTGTGGCCTGGCCTTGCCCCCTGCAATCTGACTCTGACTCTGACTCTGTGACTCCGTGACTCTGAATCTGAGTCTGAATCTGAGTCTGAACAGCAATCTGATGCCATAGAGCCACTCTAGGGCTGCCGGCGTGTGGGTCGCGTCCTTCATCATTAAAGTCGCATTTGGTTCTCGTTCCGGTTTTGGTCCTGCACCGGCAGCCTTCTGCGGCGGCAGTATATCATGTTCTGCGGATTACCCCAGAAACGAGAATAATTGCACTTTAATTTTAGAACAATGAAAAATTATGAATGGCCCTCGGCTAGGCTGCAGACTCATTCCTCAAGTTGCCTCCGCATTTGCCCATTGTGAAGGCGTTAGAGACCTGGAAAATTAACGGGCTTTATTGTTCTTTCTTTCGTGCGGAGCCCTTAGTTCAAAGTTTGAATTCGAATTGAAGGGGAGACGGCTGGTTATTAACTGAAATGAATGGCGGCTACTTGTGGAAGTCGGATAGCCCAATAAATCAACGGGAAAGTGGCCTAATAAAACACTTATTAATAGGACTTCCCCTCGTTTATAAAACAAACAGCTTGATTGTAATATTTATAAGCCAATTTGTTCTTTTTTATTTCTTTAGGTAATGAAATCTCTAGAGCCACACATCAATGTTGTGCATTTGCTGGGCTGCTGCACGGACAAAGATCCCACATTTGTAATTCTGGAGTACGTGAATCGGGGAAAACTACAAACCTATCTACGCAGCTCTCGCGCCGAAAGGTAGGCAACATTTTATAAACTTCTTCAAATTAAAAACAAAATTTTAATCGTTTCCTTCGTTAAAGGCACTATGGAAATACCCACGGAAAATCAAATGTACTAACATCGTGCGACCTAACATCCTTTATGTACCAAGTAGCTAAGGGAATGGACTACCTAACATCTCGAGGCGTAAGTTGACTAGAAGATAAGATAAGTTGAGTTATGGAGTTTAGCGTTTCAGCCTTGGGACATTTCTTAATTTTTTTAAAATGATAACCAAATCATAACCTCAAAAAAATTAAAAAAAAAATGGATTTCTAAATTTAGATGCAGCTCTTTAGAGAATTGCGCCAGAAAAATTTTAAGGTATGCCACTCCAAATTCCGATTAAGATAAGTTGAGTTATGGAGTTTAGAACTTCAGCCTTGGGACATTTTTTCATTTTTTTGAATTTCTACAATATCATACATCAGAAAAATTACAAAAAAACTAAAAAAAAATTAATTTCTAAATTTGAATGCAGTTTTTTAGAGAATTGCGCCAGAAACATTTTAAGGTATGCCACTCCAAATTCCGATTAAGATAAGTTGAGTTATGGAGTTTAGATCTTCAGCCTTGGGACATTTTTTCATTTTTTTGAATTTCTACAATATCATACATCAGAAAAATTACAAAAAAACTAAAAAAAAATTAATTTCTAAATTTGAATGCAGTTTTTTAGAGAATTGCGCCAGAAACATTTTAAGGTATGCCACTCCAAATTCCGATTAAGATAAGTTGAGTTATGGAGTTTAGAACTTCAGCCTTGGGACATTTTTTCATTTTTTTGAATTTCTACAATATCATACATCAGAAAAATTACAAAAAAACTAAAAAAAAATTAATTTCTAAATTTGAATGCAGTTTTTTAGAGAATTGCGCCAGAAACATTTTAAGGTATGCCACTCCAAATTCCGATTAAGATAAGTTGAGTTATGGAGTTTAGATCTTCAGCCTTGGGACATTTTTTCATTTTTTTGAATTTCTACAATATCATACATCAGAAAAATTACAAAAAAACTAAAAAAAAATTAATTTCTAAATTTGAATGCAGTTTTTTAGAGAATTGCGCCAGAAAAATTTTAAGGTATGCCACTCCAAATTCCGATTAAGATAAGTTGAGTTATGGAGTTTAGAACTTCAGCCTTGGGGCATTTCCTAATTTGTTTAAATTTCTACAACATCATACATCAGAAAAATTACAAAAAAATGTAAAAAAAATTAATTTCTAAATTTGAATGCAGTTTATTAGAGAAGTGCGCCAGAAAAATTTTAAGGTATGCCACTCCAAATTCCGATTAAGATAAGTTGAGTTATGGAGTTTAAATCTTCAGCCTTGGGACATTATTTCATTTTTTTGAATTTCTACAATATCATACATCAGAAAAATTACAAAAAAATGTAAAAAAAATTAATTTCTAAATTTGAATGCAGTTTATTAGAGAATTGCGCCAGAAACATTTTAAGGTATGCCACTCCAAATTCCGATTAAGATAAGTTGAGTTATGGAGTTTAGAACTTCAGCCTTGGGGCATTTCCTAATTTGTTTAAATTTCTACAACATCATACATCAGAAAAATTACAAAAAAATGTAAAAAAAATTAATTTCTAAATTTGAATGCACTTTATTAGAGAAGTGCGCCAGAAAAATTTTAAGGTATGCCATTCCAAATTCCGATTAAGATACGTTGAGTTATGGAGTTTAGAACTTCAGCCTTGGGGCATTTCCTAATTTGTTTAAATTTCTACAACATCATACATCAGAAAAATTACAAAAAAATGTAAAAAAAATTAATTTCTAAATTTGAATGCAGTTTATTAGAGAATTGCGCCAGAAACATTTTAAGGTATGCCACTCCAAATTCCGATTAAGATAAGTTGAGTTATGGAGTTTAGAACTTCAGCCTTGGGGCATTTCCTAATTTGTTTAAATTTCTACAACATCATACATCAGAAAAATTACAAAAAAATGTAAAAAAATTAATTTCTAAATTTGAATGCAGTTTATTAGAGAAGTGCGCCAGAAAAATTTTAAGGTATGCCACTCCAAATTCCGATTAAGATACGTTGAGATGGAGTTTAGAACTTCAGCCTTGGGACATTTTTTCATTTTTTTGAATTTCTACAATATCATACATCAGAAAAATTACAAAAAAACTAAAAAAAAATTAATTTCTAAATTTGAATGCAGTTTTTTAGAGAATTGCGCCAGAAACATTTTAAGGTATGCCACTCCAAATTCCGATTAAGATAAGTTGAGTTATGGAGTTTAGAACTTCAGCCTTGGGGCATTTCCTAATTTGTTTAAATTTCTACAACATCATACATCAGAAAAATTACAAAAAAATGTAAAAAAAATTAATTTCTAAATTTGAATGCAGTTTATTAGAGAAGTGCGCCAGAAAAATTTTAAGGTATGCCACTCCAAATTCCGATTAAGATAAGTTGAGTTATGGAGTTTAGATCTTCAGCCTTGGGACATTTTTTCATTTTTTTGAATTTCTACAATATCATACATCAGAAAAATTACAAAAAAATGTAAAAAAATTAATTTCTAAATTTGAATGCAGTTTATTAGAGAAGTGCGCCAGAAAAATTTTAAGGTATGCCACTCCAAATTCCGATTAAGATACGTTGAGTTATGGAGTTTAGAACTTCAGCCTTGGGACATTTTTTCATTTTTTTGAATTTCTACAATATCATACATCAGAAAAATTACAAAAAAACTAAAAAAAAATTAATTTCTAAATTTGAATGCAGTTTTTTAGAGAATTGCGCCAGAAACATTTTAAGGTATGCCACTCCAAATTCCGATTAAGATAAGTTGAGTTATGGAGTTTAGATCTTCAGCCTTGGGACATTTTTTCATTTTTTTGAATTTCTACAATATCATACATCAGAAAAATTACAAAAAAACTAAAAAAAAATTAATTTCTAAATTTGAATGCAGTTTTTTAGAGAATTGCGCCAGAAAAATTTTAAGGTATGCCACTCCAAATTCCGATTAAGATAAGTTGAGTTATGGAGTTTAGATCTTCAGCCTTGGGACATTTTTTCATTTTTTTGAATTTCTACAATATCATACATCAGAAAAATTACAAAAAAATGTAAAAAAATTAATTTCTAAATTTGAATGCAGTTTATTAGAGAAGTGCGCCAGAAAAATTTTAAGGTATGCCACTCCAAATTCCGATTAAGATACGTTGAGTTATGGAGTTTAGAACTTCAGCCTTGGGACATTTTTTCATTTTTTTGAATTTCTACAATATCATACATCAGAAAAATTACAAAAAAACTAAAAAAAAATTAATTTCTAAATTTGAATGCAGTTTTTTAGAGAATTGCGCCAGAAACATTTTAAGGTATGCCACTCCAAATTCCGATTAAGATAAGTTGAGTTATGGAGTTTAGAACTTCAGCCTTGGGGCATTTCCTAATTTGCTTAAATTTCTACAACATCATACATCAGAAAAATTACAAAAAAATGTAAAAAAAATTAATTTCTAAATTTGAATGCAGTTTATTAAAGAATTGCGCCAGAAACATTTTAAGGTATGCCACTCCAAATTCCGATTAAGATAAGTTGAGTTATGGAGTTTAGAACTTCAGCCTTGGGGCATTTCCTAATTTGTTTAAATTTCTACAACATCATACATCAGAAAAATTACAAAAAAAAGTAAAAAAAATTAATTTCTAAATTTGAATGCAGTTTATTAGAGAATTGCGCCAGAAAAATTTTAAGGTATGCCACTCCAAATTCCGATTAAGATAAGTTCAGTTATGGAGTTTAGAACTGCAGCCTTATAGTATATATTATATATATAGAATATAGAATATATAATATATACTTTATATGGTCGGAAACGCGTCCTTCTGCCTGTTACATACTATTCAACGAATCTAGTATACCCTTTTACTCTACGAGTAACGGGTAAAATATAAAAATCCACTAACCGATTCATATATATCATATCTTTATCCAGATAATCCATCGTGACTTGGCTGCTCGGAATATTCTCATAACCGATGATCACACGTGCAAAGTTGCGGACTTTGGCTTCGCAAGGGATGTAATCACCTCGAAGATTTATGAAAGAAAAAGCGAAGGCAAGCTGCCCATCAGGTAATAAATATTTCAATAAATCATTACAAACAATCGAGTTCAAGCACAGCCTTGATTTTTCAGATGGATGGCTACAGAGTCGCTATACGACAATATATTCTCCGTAAAGTCGGATATCTGGAGCTTCGGCATACTGATGTGGGAAATTGTGACCCTGGGATCGACGCCATACCCTGGCATATCAGCAGCAGATGTGATGCGAAAGGTTGGCAGTTGTGAAATATATCAAGGTAGAATAATATTGAATGAATTTAACTTATTTCTGTAGGTAAGGGATGGGTATCGCTTGGAGAAACCAGAGCACTGTCGTCGGGAGCTGTACAACATCATGTACTACTGCTGGTCCCACGATCCCCAGGAGCGTCCTTTGTTCGCGGAGATAATCCAGATGCTGGACAAGCTGCTGCACACGGAAATGGATTACATCGAACTCGAGCGGTTCCCCGATCACAACTACTATAATATCGTTAGTCTTAGTGGTGAGAAGTTGTAGGTTCTCAATGGTCCTCAATCTCAGTGCACCGAACCCGAACCCCAAGAGCTTTATTACCTCCAAATGACTTTGGAACATCTGCTTGCAGTCTGGGCTCAGTAAGTTGATACTCTTACTGGGATTTGCGAACAGAGAGAAGGTTTACACTGCCATTACGAGTCGCACTGCACATAAATGTAAGTGAAACTGTATCTTTCGGATAGCTGACAAGTCTAAATGCCAAAGTGTGTAGCGCTATCTTTGAGCTTCGGATGTGAGATACACTACACAAAGGGTTTGAATTCCAAGGCAGTTGTAATTCCTCTTAAATTCTAAGTTGATTGCACATGCATGAGTGTTTGCGTTCGCGTTTTATTTATTTGACTTGTATTATGTACTTAATTTATCAACCGTGTATAGAGTTATATATGTAATTTATATTATTGTTAAACCGCAAATGAACTATAAATATATACCTAAACAGCCATTCCCCTCGCATCTCTGAGATCTCCCCCATATCCTTAAACATACATCCAGACTAAGCCGAATTCGTTGACGCATAGTTATTTAGAGACTTATTGGCGTGGCAAACTTTGCAGCTCCGGCAAACTGAGTACGTGCATAAATGATGCCGATGGCGTCAAAAGCTGACGAAGCTGATACCTAAAAGACTGACTACGTGACGTGCATCCTGAAATTTAGCATACTCGCATTAAACGTATCGATTTCTGCTCACTGCGGCAACGAACCGCCTTTAAATAGCGGCTATATAATGGGCTTAAAATCGCTTTTCTTTAAATCTGCTATTAGGCTATTAGGCAAGGGAAAATGCAACAGGTTGCTTGCATCAAAAACACATCAAAGGGACTATTTGGGTCGCCAGTGAAACCCTTTAAAGTGCCTTGCGAAATACGCGAACTGGGAGTGGAAAGGAGTAGTTCATTTGAGTGCGATTTTATTTTTATTACCGAGCAGCAGCGGCAACAGACTAATTGTGGGCTTAAACTGAGCACGGCTTTTATATGTTGCAAGAATCGGTGGCACAATACGGCGCATGGTCCGCTCTTCTGGAGCACGTGTTTGAGTTGCTGGATTGGCCGAGGAGTAACTATTGTGGCACCATATGTCCGCCTATTGTGGAAACATTTGTTGTCATGCTGCCAGAGAGAAATATCAATTAAAGGAGCAGGCGGATATCACAAGTCAGCTGTTTTATGTAATCGTACGATTAACTACTGCACAATTCATATTTAAATGTATGACTATCCAAATGCGTGTGTAAATAATTTAATCACCTAGCTATAAGCGCGCGTTTTGCCATTAATGTGTTTGCCAAATGATTTCAAATATTTAAGATGGGAGTATTTACCATCTCCGTTGAACAAAGCTCTTTGTGCGGAGAGAACATGCGCAGGTGTGTTTGTACCAAAAGCTTGAAGGACCCTCAAGGACTCCGAATTTCTCAGCAACTGGGAAACTGTAAATTTGCCGCAATTATAAACCATTTTCGTTTCACTTCAAACCTCAACCTCTTAGTCACTTTATTATAATTTCATGTTGAAAAAAATAAGAAAGTTATATGCTATGCTATGTAATAAATAGAAAACCAATCGTTTGAATTAAAGCGCGATTCTGGCATTATAAACTACTCTATCCTAAAGACCAGTCCAATGCCAGCATATGAACCTCTATTGCACAGCCCTCCATTGTGGATATTCCAGGCACTTAGATGTAATCATCGTTGTCTGGGCCGTGCAATTTGGTTTCCTCGCTCTCCCGCTCCCACTCGTTCATCTTGGCCTGCATAATGAGGTCCTGGAAGGATCCGTACTCAGTGTTCTGTCGCGTCTTGGCCGTCAGTCCCACATCGCCCTCGTCGTCGTAGAAGTTATCGGATTCGTAATCAGTATCCCGGGCCATGTCCAGATCGGGATAATCCTGCTCCTCGGCGTTGCGGGGAATTCCGTGCTTCAGATAGAATGAGTTCAGCAGGCTCTCGATCTTCCACGATGGCATGTCGGAAACCATCTTGACGGCGATCTTCCGGCGCGGCCTTTTCAGGGTCTTGTGTGGCCTGTCGGCCAGTTCAAAGTTCAGCGAGGTCTTCAGCATGCGCTTGGATGCGGTCAACTTCTTGAGAATGGATCTGTACAGGCCCAGGAACTGATCGGGTTGCTGCTTGGCCTTTGGCAGTGCTTTTGGGTTCTCCAGAATGAAGCGGTTGAGCAGCTCCTTGGTGCCCTGTTGATCCTTTTGCGATTTCAGCAGTTCAACTGGAGAAGGCGAAAATGGCAAAGTTAGTGAAGAGTTCGTAGGGAGTTTGGATGAAGTGACAACCCACCTTTTTCTTGGCTTAGTCCGAGTGTGTTCTTGAAGACGCCCCAGTCGTCCTTGGGCCCGGACTTGGCAGGACTCTTCTCCACGCTCTTGATGTAGAGAGCCAGGCAGCTTTGCTGGATGGCCAGCGAAATCAGAATGATAGCTTTTCCCAACTGCATCTTCAGATCGATGTGCTTCGTTCGGTGGGCGAGGCGATTGTGATGTCCTGTGCTCAGTGAAGCTACCCTTATATACCGCGATCCTTTCGGACTGATCCGCATCCGCGTTAATTGACATAACCGCACATCAGCGTTGCGTGGCTGCGATAATCAGACAAAGGCTGCAAAGGCGCTTGACACTCGAGACATCCGGGGCGCCTGCGCCTGCGCCTGCGCAAGGACCACTTTTGGCCAAGGAGTCAGCGCAGGACGACATGTGCTTGATTGAGCCAACGCCGCGCAGCGATGCCCTTTGTTTTTCTAGGGAACACTTAGCGCGAGCCGCGGCAATTAAACGGCAAACTGAGCGCACACAAAAATTAGTGCTTACGCATCTTGCCTCAGACGGCGGCCAGGTAGCCCGCGTCCTGAGTCCTTGCCACAGGACCAAGCAGGACGAGGCAGAGCGAGGCAGGACGAGGCGACACCCAACGACAGGCGACTGCAGCGGCCAATGTGGGAATCAAAGTGCGTAATTGAGTCGCTTAAAAGCGCCAAATGGTTTCATGAATGTACCGCACCAACAGGCTCACCAGGTAGACGCTCGCCTTTCAAATGCGAAAGGAAGTACAAATAAATCCTAGCGCCAGCCATAAACGGATCAACTGCGCCGATCTCAATCCGCTGGTCTCCTCGACAAGTTCTGCGTTCGTTCGCTAATTATTCCTGAATGCGCGTTTTATTGATGCAATATAAATAATGCAAATGCAATTTGCGGTGCATGCAGACAAGGGGTGGTCCCTAAAAAATGTGCCATCTAAGCCACTGCCACTGCCACTGCCACTGCCACAGTCGATGCCACTGCCACTGCAGCTGCGGAAGACCAGCCTCGACTGTCGGACGGGTAATTATGTAATATGCGAATGACAATAAATAAAGTTGGTCCAGGGGAAGATGCAATTGAACAATCTAGAGTGACTAGGGGAAATGAGGAATTACTAGATACGAGTACAAGCCTCTAATTTATATAAAAAAGAAATACACATCCCAAAGTGAACAAATCTTATATGTATATGAGTTGCCTATAGGTTATAAATTATAAATTACTCTATACATTGAAGTAATTGAAATACTGCCCAACAGAAATGATAAAAATTCAAGAAAAAAGCGAATGTGAAAATGAGTGATGAATGATGAATTACTGTTTCTTAGTTCCTTATCGCATTAATCATGTAACTCATGCTATTTGAAATTTGGTTAACCCTAATAATCAGAGGCTAAAAAAACATTGATAATCGTTGAATTGCTTAATCACTATGGTAACAATATTAATGGCTTTTTTTAATTTATATTTTTCAAGCTTGAAATGTACTATTACTATTTCGGCTATCGGGGATTTGTACTATTCACGTTTTTCTCAATTTTAAAAATGTTCGTTACAAAAAGTATTTGGGTAAAATTGTTACTTTACTGAAATTTTACATGTATTAAATACATTTTACATAATCGACGGGAAAGCAGTACAAAGCGAGATGCAAAGCAGGGAACAGCAGTTCAAATGCAATGTTGAAGCAGTGCATAAGCAGTTACAAATCAGTATAGTTGTAATTCAGCAAAGACGCAAGCCGGGAATAGGAAGTAAGAGGTTAGTACAAAAAGCAAAGATTCGAACCGGAACAAGGAAATAAACGAAACTTTCTTATAAGAAGTTATCCCAAGCGAAACCCACACAAATCAAATTGGATTCAGAAATAACGAAATTTCTGACGAAATAACGAAATTGGGTATATTTAAATATTATTTGCTGCAATGAGCAGTCTAGTACAACACAACACATATTCCCATTCCTGTCACATCTGGCCGTTTAAAAATATATTTTCCAACAAACACCGTAGTTATAGAAACGAAGTTACTTGTTTATTGTTTTGAAGAGCCGGCAATCGTAACCACGCCAAAATGCCGAAAGTATTGTTTCAGAAGTACAAGAAGGTGGTGAGCAACATCGACCCCAGTCGCCACCTTGGCAAATTCAAGGAAATCGACGAGAATAGGCGCTCGCAGACCGAATCCGATTTCGTGGATGAAATGGAGGGCGAGTACGAGCCGGAAATGGAGGAAATGCGGTCCAGCGAATTCAGCTTATCCGAAGGAGAACCTGCGCTAAATATCGGCAAGATCGACTTATCGTTTCCCGAAACAGTCGAGGAGTTCGAAGCCAGTCCCCAGTGCTATCCTCCCTCCTACTATACCCTCTCGCCCAAGGAGCGCTTGCTCCTGCTCTACGCCGAGAATTTCCGGAAGCAATTGGTCCTCAGCTACCCAAAGAGACGTGCGATGGTCTTGGCGCTGCCCAACGAATGCAAAGTACAGGTAAAGTGCCCACCACTGCCCCCTCCGTTGCCAGCGTTTTGATAAATTGCCCCTCTTAACCAACTTGCAGAAATTCGTTTGCACCACCATCAGGCCAACGGCGTTTATTTACACGCAACTCATATCGAGTGTTGAGGAAATTGCCAAGTTTGTCGCCGATTTCATTCAGTATGAGCCACTGGAGGATCCCATAAATTTGGTAAGTTTATTGTGCCAATCGCATTCCTTCTTCTTGGATACCGAGCCATATATTTTAGAGTTTATGCGTTCTAAAGAGGCCAATAACTTGACCAAAACAATTTATCCTTGTTAATATGTTACAACTACTAAGATTGATAAAGAATTTCATATAACTGAATTATTTTGTAGTGCATTGATGGGTAAAACACAAATATTTCCAGACCCTTTGTGTTCAAAATATTGCTGGATTGTTCAGATCAAAGCAAACATATTTGTTTTGTCTGAAAGTGAAAACCACTTAGCTAGGAATAAGAACAACATCAGTTTAAGAGTTTCATAAAAATTATCTAATTATTTTTATTGAACATGTATTTAAAATTACATTTAAATTTGTAAATGTTTTTTATTTAAATATCGCATTAATTTCGAATTAAGAAAATTCTTTTGAGCACATTTCCATAGTTATCAATATACGAAATTTAAAAACGTTGATATCAAATGCATGCCATTCGCGCCAACACACCTTGCAGTTCGAAATTGTTTGTTTCGTAACAAAAACTAAGGCTATAACATTTTTCCTAGAATGCATTGGGTGAAAAACAAACTAACAAAACAGAGTCGATTGCTCCTTCCGTGCAAATGAAATGCATAATAGCTACAAATACAGATTCTCGATATATACACGTTAGCCGTACGATTAATTAAGACAATGCAATGGAGTGGATTTGAATTGAATTGAATTGAATTGAATGGAAAGAGACTGAAAGTATGCTCGATAGGTTTCACAGCTAGGAGATAAATTCAGTGAGTCCTCCGGGGCGTGGAACCATGTGGTCTAACTGCTGGAGCTCAGTTCGTCGTACTGCTGGTACTCGCCCGTGATCTGGCAGTCGTCGGGGTCATCGTCGAGGTCACAATGTACAAATTCGTAGGGAGGGAAGAACAGGGAGCTGAGTAGGGTGGCCGACGATCGGTAGACGGCCGGCGCATACACGTGGCACCTCGTCGAAGCCTCGCCGGCATCCGCATCCGTATCTGCGTCCGCATCGGGGAGACCAGGTCCTGGTTCTGCGTCCGGCAGCGCGCCGCTGGGGCTATCCTCCATCTCTGTATCCGTGGCTGGCTCCGTGGGCGCCAACTTTGGCTTTTCCTATTTGCGACGGCGACTCTTGCCCCGCCCACTGCCCTCCTCCTCCGCGGCGTGCTCCTCGCTGTCCTCCGGCGGACACCGCGAACCGGGCTTCTCGATCGGCGGCGCCTCGCTGCCCGACTTGATGGCGGCTATGAGGAAACGGAGCTGCATCAGCTGCACGGCGGTCACGCGGGGATTGCTGCAGTTCTCCAGCCACTGCAGGAACTTCTCGCCATGCCGAATGGCCTCGATGTCCTCGTCCGCCGTGCAGTCCAGATACTTGGCCTTCTCCTCCTCGTCCGTTTTGTTGGAGTTATTATTGTTATTGTTATTGCTGGCACTCACATCGTTGTTGTTCGTGTGCGGATTGCTGGTGTCCTGGAAGCTGCCCTCCGATTCGGATCCGTGTTCCGGCATCAGAGGACCGGTGGCCTCCATTCCGCCCATCTTGAACAGCATATTGTCTAGGATCTTTTTGCATTCGCTTGTGGGATTCGGGGTCTCTGGCGTTTTGGTCTTCGCCTTTGGTTCGGGACTCCGGCTGCCCGACGAATGGGCAATGGGACTTTGCGAAGGGGTCATCACCTTGCCGGCGGCTGAGAGATCCTCCGGTTTCCCGGACGCCTCCGTCTCCACTTCGCCGTCGAGATCGGGCTCGGTGGCCTCGTCTGCCTCGGGATTCTGTTCGTTGGAGGACAGACTTCTCACCGACGGCGTCTCAGTCTCTTTCGTGAGATGGGAGTACAGGATGTTCGAGGGATCTGCCATGGAACCTCCCTCTGCGCTCGTGGTGGCCACCTGCTGCTGCAGTTGGTTGGCTTGCAGGGCGGCCAAGGTGGCGGCATTGGGATTCAGGGTGTGCAGACTGGCCCCGAACGCCTTGCACCAGTTGTACCAGGCCGCGTTCTTCTCGTCCAGACTGCCCGACGGTGTGGACGAGGGTGTCAGCGGAGCCGAGGGTATCGGCGGCGTCTGGGCCAGCTGACTCATGTGCTGTGGCGTGGAAGATCTGATGGGGGGACTGGTCACGCCCATGGGTATTGTGGGCGGATACAGTGGATTCAGGCCCAGCATGGTCTGCTGCGACTTGAGCCAGTAGAGCAAGGGATCGTCGGCCAGATTGGAGAGCGTCATGGGCCCGCCCATTTGCGAAGGAGCAATCGAAGGACTCGGACTCTTGATGTCGCCTCCCTTGCCCTCGTTCTTGGTGCTCAGATTGAGGCTGCCCTGGCCCTCCCCCGGCTTCTGTTTGGCCCAGTTCTTCACCGACAGTCCCTGTGCCGACCGATCTCCACTATCGCTCCTGGGGCTCTGCACCTGCAGCGGCGTCTGGCCAGTGGGCTTCGGGGTCCTCAGGTTACCAGCGCCCGCTGGAAAGCTGTTCAGGCCCGACATGGCCGCCAGACCGGGATTCAGCTGGGCCAGCAAGTTGAGGTTTGTGGTCAGCTCGTTGAAACTGATCGCCAGCGGGGACTGCGATATGCCCGTGAGACCCGAAAGGTGCGTCAAGCTCGAGAGCGGACTAATTGCGTTCAGGGAGGGATCGGCGGCGGGTCGATTGATATCGGCACCAAACACTTTGGCCTTGACCCCGCCATTGAAGGCCGCATAGTCCACGGGCAGCCCATTGTACCCCAGATCGGCCAGGTTCTTGTTTGTACTGTAGTCCAGGCCATTCAGAGGAGATCGCTTGAAGGCCAGCTCATCGAACTTCAGTTTGTTGGAGAAGTTCAGCGGCAGGGCGCCATCCAATCGCTGGCGTTTCTCCGGCGGACCCAGTAGACCACCGCCGCCTGCCCCGCCACCAGCTCCGCCGTCCATCTTGTCGCCCAGGGCGTCGGCGCAGAGGTTATCCGTGGCGGACTGGCGCGACATGAAGCGCAGCTTGTCCTCGTTCTTGCACCAGCCGCGCAGCGTGGACTCGGGCACGCCGATGTCCCTGGCCACCGATGCCTTGGACTCGCCATCGTGGATCCTCTGGATGGCATGGATCTTGTCGCGCGGCGTCAGGCTCCGCAGGGGACGCTTGCCCTTCGTGCCCATGCGGATGTTCATGTGGGGGTAGCTGGAAATATCCAACTTCAGGCCGTTGTCGAACAGCTTGGCGTCTGCAAGAGAGAAGAACAAGCGGTTCTTAATTAATTGCCGTGACACACTTGGCATATCGCATATCGCATATCGCAAATCGCACGGCGGACCGATGCGCTCCCATTCGCCAGCGGTGTAGCACATAGCGATATATATGTACTCGACCGAGCGGCGAATGCCGTGTGCGCGCGTCCATGTACTTTCGGGGGGTTGGGGCTTAAAAGCGGAGGTGGAATGGGGTTGCCTGTCATGGAGTGTCAGGTTGGGCCACAATGTGCCAGGATGTGCAGGATGTGCCAGGACGTGCCAGGACGTGCCGGGATGCGCAAGGGGTGGCGGCTGGTGCTTCGCATGTTCGCACGGCGCTCCAATAAAATCGCCGCGCGCTTTAAAATTTTACAGACAAGTCGCGGTGTAAATAAACCGCACAGCCGGGCGTATGCGCTATATTGCGTATACGTGTAGGTGGTCCCATCGCATCTGTGTGTGTGCGTACATAGCTACAGCTACAGCTACAGCTACAGCCAGGATGACAAAATCTCTCTCTAGCGCTCTTGCAGGCAAATGAGCTGCGTCACGCCCCTTGCCTCTTTTCGCTCGGCGCACGAAGGATGCCAAATTTGCAAAAAGGACTCGAAAGTGTGTCTGTGTGCGTGCTCGTTGGCTCGACACTGCCTGGCCGTGTGTGTGTGTGTGTACACGGGGAGACAATGGAATATGCTAATTGGTGCGTTGCCTTCGCGCCGCGACGCGCCTGCTCCAAAATGCAGCGCGCAACGCGAGCTACGAATAAGCAACAAGAACAAGCCATTCGTCGGCCGAACTTTCCCGAGTCCGCAAATTTATAACTTGTTTACCTGTCTCGGGCCACTTGGCGCTGCAGCGCAGAACATCCCCCAACTCGAGGCACTATGCGATGCTGTTGTGGGCCACCTCCATCCACCTCCAGTGGACGTGGATCCATGCCAATGCCAAGCACGCCTGTTGCGCCTTCCTTTCCTATCCATCCTAGCTTTTCTGCCTTGCTGCCTCGCTGCCTTGCTGCTTCCTTCTTCCAGATCTGAAATGTTGCCAAAGGCAACGGCAGGTGCAGCAGCAACAGCAGCAGCAGCCGCAGCAGCGTCTTTTGGGCCAGCTCTCAAGTCTTTTTCGGCCTGGCCAAAAGTCGAAGGCAGGCAGAAAACAGAAACCTGAGCGAGCAACAATATGCTCCGCCTCCATCTCTCCAGAAAGTGAGGCATGCAAAAGAGCTCGCCCCATGGTGCAATTTTAAAATGAAAAACACGTTTTGCGCATGACTGACACATGATTTCTTTCCCTGCATATATATGTGCGTATATCTCCACAGATATATATACGTATATAGCCATATATATGTATGGCATTCAAATATACTGGCCAAGTCCCAGTTGCCGTGTGTGTGTGTGTGTGTGCCTTCGCAGAGCGCACTTCGCGCGGAAGAGAAACTTCGGGAACTAAGAGAGCGCAGATGACCAAACTGGAGGAGTCTTTCGTTTGGCCATCCATCGCAATGCTGTTTACCAAACGCACAGCGCTCCTTGGCTGGCTTTCAGCCACTTGAAATGGAGTTTACACGTTGCCAGCTATTAATTTGAGGCTCCTGAATCACTGGGCTTATCTCCTCCAGTTGGTTGTTTGGGCCAACTTGAGCTTATGATTTGGAATAAGCAGTTGGTAAGTGCCAAAAGGGATGAGGTGCACATATTTAATCTGGCTGGTATTATTCGGGATATGCCTCTCTATTATGTGATTTATATGCAGGGAAAACTTTGTAATGAGACTATTAGAATTAAAGCTACGCTTTAAGCTTTAGGGCTGTAGCAAATGTAAGTCAAATGCATTTAATCAGAAAGAAGCTAATCTAACTTTGTTGCATGAATGATGAGCTGCATTGGTAATCACTGCTAATAGGTATGCGTTTGTCACCTGGCTGACTATGCGGTTTAATGCATACCAATCCAGTGGCTGCCTCCACACCTCCGTCCACTTGACACCCAATCCACAAACATAGACACACTGGGCTGCTCATAACCAATAGAGCAGCTAATAACTGTGTCGACGGCGGTGCATGTGATTCTGCCCCCCTAAAGGCCACCTAAACACCAAGCACCAAGCAGCAAACAGCAAACATCATACACCTAACTCCATTCAACTAACACCACCCACAGATCCGAAGCTGCGGAGATCCGGAGAAGCAGCGACCTGCCGACAACCTGCACCCAAACACATATCGAATAAAACTTTTACAGCTGTATAAAAATTACAAGGTCTTTGGCCATTCAGCAGCGGAGTCGAATGGGAAATGGAAAATGGGAAATGGGCGTGGGAATGGGAATGGGAATGGGTGAGTTGAGATGGGGTGGAAGGAAAAGAATTTTTACTTTCGCTTTCAGTGGGTCCGTCCTTGTCCTAGCCGGCTCGCCATTAAACTTTTCACGAACCGAACTGGGACAGTGAGAAGTGTGTAAAAAATCTAGTAACAACAGAAAAAGATGAAAGAAATAAATATAAAAGAATTACACCAAGTTTGTCAGTGTGTGTGTGTGGAGGGGCCAGTCTGTGTCTGGTGTTGCTGCTGTGCACACATGCACACTCACACACCCAAACACTTACACACACCTAGCCAGCACAGGACATGTGTATGCCGGAATGGCCATACCCGTCAGTATGTCTGTAATGGCCAACCGTCTGGCCATTCCATCGTACACGTGTGTGTGCTTGTGTGTGTGTGTGGGGGGCTAAGAGCTTCTGATTTTCCTATATACAATTATAATTTTATTGTATTTACTATTTTTTCGTTTCTTTGGCTTCGTATTGAACTCACTCACAGACGCAGAGGGGCAATGCATGTGGCAAGGACACCGAGGAGGGTCAAATGGGATGGGCCGACATGGGTGGGGTGGGGGAGAGTCTGGCGAATGGAGGTCAACGACTGAAACTAGTACTAATATGTGCAAGTGTTTGATAGCTTCATTCGTTTGTGCTAATGCAGAAAGAAATAAAGCACAAAAAGAGGCAACACATAAAAATAAGAATTCCGTAGATAAAAGAAAAAGTTGCTTTGGTCCAAGCCCAATCGTTTGTTGGTGTGTGTGTGTGTGTGTGTGTGTGTGTATGGATGTGTGTGTGACTGTCTGGGATGCTTTCCACACCGCAGTTATGTGTGTGCAAATAAACCATGTGTCTGCTGTAATGTTGGACCTGTTGGCACCAATGATCTATGTGGCTTTAAGCACTATTGCACCTTTTTATTGTGTGTTTTGGTTTATGATTAGCCCGATTAATGTTGTGCCAGGCTTTCGCAGTGGAACGAGACTTGGTAGGGGATTTTATTAGGGGAATCGCTTTGAAATTTATGATTTCTAAGATATGGGGTTCATATATGGGCTATACTATTTTAAGTGTCTAATCGATTTTAAACGTTTATGTATTTAAAGAAAAAAATCATAAAGTAAAGTATATAATAAGTGTAAAAGTATATAAAAATATTATGAGTTTTAGCATTAAATGGCTTCATTAGTTCCCTTAATATGTTACCTAGATATGAATTATCGTTGATGCTTAGAACTGATACTTGGGGTTTTATTAGGTTATGAAGTAGTTTCGCAACACTGAGTTACTAACTCGCCTTAAGATTGTACGAAAAAGTATTATTATTAAAAATAATAAATATTATAAATATATATATAAAATAATAAATAATATTATTGATTTGTAATTCATTTATAAACAAGAAGCATTAACTGTTTACATCTTATCTTAGAAGAATAATGAGAATAATTTAATAATTGAATGACGAGATACATTTTCGTGTTTTCAAATAGTGACACAGATCCTGACCATACGGAACTTTTTCAAAAACAAACGTTAAAAATTGTACGTGTCCTCTTGACAAAGCGGATGATAGTTAAAATAGTGATAAGAAAATAATTTTTAACATACGTGCCTCGCAATGCACAAAAAGTATTGCATACGTCAAGGGGCCACTAAAACCGGTTTCCTGTATATGTTAATATAACATTTCAATGAAAACTTGATATATACAGGAAAACTAAACATTTTAGAGGTAAGACCTTTATTCTACGAACTATATAGCTGCTTCATTTCATGGATTGACAATCATATTGGAAGATAAACTCGAAGATTATAAATAATGAAAAAACTTGACCTAGCCAATCTAAGTATGGAGTATAATAAAACTTTTTATGTTATAATATTTTTTAAAGCACAAGTATATATTATAATAGCTAACTAAATGTTGAAGGTTAATTAATAATATTACAGAACATATATCTGGAATTCTCAAGATCTTTCATATAATATTATATAAAGATCTAAGCAAAACCGCGGATTCACTATAAATATGAAGAAATTATTACTCGTATTACTTCTCCTGCTTTGTTGTATAAAATATAAATATATATTTTGTTCTTAAAATTTGTTACTTGAGCCGTTATTTGCAAGACCTACTGAGATTATTATGATTTGAGATTGGGGTAATATTAATGCAAGTACACAAGGAAATACACTTTCCAAAATGGGAATATGTGAAAATAATAATTTTTTTGAATATTGAAAGGTTCACAAAAATTTATTAATTCTCAATTAACTTTTTATGTTCGTTTTCCGGCTCAAATACAAAATTTGTTGAACGTGTTTACAATTTTTCTGTTGTTCAGATCACTCGGTAAACTGCTATTAATTAATGCATAACCGACAATAACACTTTGCTGGTTGCTCAATTAACCGATATGGTCAAATACTAACCTTTTAGTTAACTTCCGGGGGCGAAAAGTGATCGGTGCCTTCTTCCAGCGAAGGCGGGAGAAATTCGGTGATAGCGCAGCTAATTTATTCTTATCTCGGCCGGCGATGTTTCTAGTTCATATATAGTTCATATACATATAGTTCACATGGATATTGGTTCTTAGTTTCAGTTAATGTTGTTGCTCATTTGCAAGGATAACAGCACTCGGACAATCACAATCGAACACTGTGCTCGCGATGCGGCGTGATGTTTACCGCTGCTGTGGCGTGCGAATTTCAGCGGCAGAACATGCGGTGCGGTGCGGTGCGACCTCTCTCTCGCGCTCGTCGAAGGATATTGTGATATTGTGACGCTGCGTCGCTGTGACGTGGATGTGCGAACCTGAGCGGCTAGCGTGCGGCGACAAACTACCGCGGCGGACTTGAGTGAATTTTGATTTTAGCGCGGCGAATTTCCGCACGGCGACGACGGCGGCGACGTCACGGGAAATTTAAAGTCGCACGTCCACGAAATGCGGCGTTTCGTTCTCACTCACACACAAACTCATGCGTCCTGCAGTGGTGGTTGTGTGCTGGTCAGTCAGCCTGCCTTGGTATTAGTAGTTTTGTAGTTGTCGTTGTCGTTTTTGTTTCTTTTACGTGTGCGTGAGTCGCGCTCTCTCGCTCCCTCTCTCTGGCTCTCTTTCGCTCGCTCTCTTTCGCTCTCACTGTTGCGAATTTCGCGGCCTTTTTCGGTGACAGCCAAATGTACAATGATTAATAACGGTCAACACGGCGGCGAAGAAGTCCTCTCGCTTTGGCTGCCCCGTTCGCAATATTCGCATTTTGGCATTTTCGCATTTTGGCCGGCCCAACCACAGGCCAGTGTCCACTCACACTCACACACACACACATCTAGCACCCGCACTAACACCAGCACACCCCCACACACACACACGCGAGGACACACAGCTGTGTGCAACGAAGACGACGCAATACTCGTGCTAGGCTTTTTGAGATTGAGAGACGCACATCCTTTTCGGCCTCCTTTCTTGCGCCCACGTGTGTGTGTGACACAGAGAGAAAAATCGTCAGGTTTATTCATTGGCACGAATTTGTTATCCAATTGTTTTTTATCCAATCATATACCCCATGATTGTAATTATCAAACCAAATGTCATACAAATAAATGAAAAGACAATATTGATTGAAAAGTTCGTTTGCGGTTGAAAGTATTTATTATTCTTCGTTATAATAAACTGACTTACTATGCATTTTATAGGGTATTAATTCAAAATTGCATTTCTTCCAGTGTAAGACTGTGTGCAGCCTCAGCAGGCATTTGCTTGCGCTTAGCTAAGCCATTTTCTGCTTCCTTAAACGATGGGCAACAACTATCAAACGACCAAAAGGATCTGCGAGAAGAACGTGAAAAACCTAGCCGAAATCCCTATCTAATTTTCGCAGTGGGGGGTGCGCCTTCTATCGTCACTGATAATTCTGTTAGTTTTCCCGCTGTCATGTGCTGCAGTTGTTGCTGTTGTGATTGCGGCCAGTTTTCCTCGCTTTGTTTTGATACATGCCTTCATCGCAGATTACGTGGGCTCGCCTCTCTTTCGCGCCCGTTTCGCAAAGAGCCGTGCCAACTGAGCTGACTCCTGAGAGCCAAACAGCCTCTTCCTTAAGAGAGAGAGCGAGAGGGAGAGAGCCAGTGGGAGAGCAGCTTTTCGTCCTCATCTTCGGCTTTTTGCCGACCGAACCGAACGAAATTTTAGCGGCAGGGGGTGGTGACCCCACGGGGAAAACACCCCCCACCCACCCCTTGCGAAACCCCCTCCTTGAGAACAAGGCGAATCCGCAGAGCGGCTTTCTCGGCTCTTTTCTTTGCTCTTTTCGCTGGAGCGTGACCGGCGATCGCCGAAGGAACCGGAATTCTCCAACGGACACTCGATCGCAACTGCGGACAGCAAAGATGTGGGTATTGTGTTGGTTTCTCCATCGACTTTTGCAGGCAAATTGCTGCGGTTTGGAAATGTCAGTTGGCGAAATAATTGAACTCAAATTGTGGGACAAGAAACTATTTATCTGCGAATATCACGTGATAGCAAACTTTGGTGTAAATGTTTCTGTATTTAGCTACCAAAGGTGATATTTACTTTAATCCAGTTAAACACCAGGTAGACTTGACAACTAGTTGTGTTTGCCATTAAATGGCACACTACGGAATCTAAGTTATTAATGAATTGCACACTCTTTATATAATTAGTGCACAACATATTCAGTGCTTTGTATACAAAAGTTTAGGTTTGAGAAGTTTAGGTTTCTTGTAATATTTACTACCGAGCTGCTAAATTCAAGGTATAATTGGGAAACCATATTAAATAGATAGCTCTTATCAATGCAAAGCAATCTTAGACTATCAACTTAAAGACAAGTGTACTTTGATAAGTTGTGTGAGATGTAAAACCTGACAAGTATTTGCACCATTGTGGGATAGCCCCGAGATTACGATCTTATATAATGCGTACACATAGGCATTTGAGGTCGTAGACTTAGTAGTTGCTATGCAAAATATTTGCGCAGAGCACACACACAATCGCACATACATAGCTCCCTATTTCCCTATTGTATCTGGCCAACGAAGGCGGCCACTGACCATAATAACAACAACGGCAACGAAAAAGACAGCAGCACTGTCGCCAGAGTTGCTAGTTGCTGCCTTTCGGGAAATCGCTAAGAAAGGTTTTTGAATCCATGTCCGAAACGCACAAGCACAATCACACGCACACGCACACGCACACGTACACGCACACGCACACGCAAGCAAAGGCCCAAGGATATAGTGTAGTTGTACATATAAGTAGAGGCGTATACACAACAAGGAGCAACAATAACGCAGGACTACGGAATACGGACAACGGACAACGGACGGCGGACAGCGGACTACGGACGACCACGAGTACAGATGGCCGGCATGGGGCCGCATTGGCAAGAAACATATCCTTGCCACTAAAAAGCCAAGCAGCCTGCCCGGGTCGCTTCATTTCGTCACACACACACACACACACACACGCAGGCAGGCTCACTCACTGGACACACACTGGAGCAGTTTGGCAACACGCTACCCACACAGACGCACATTCTTCTTAGCATCCGCAGGCACATCAGCATCTTTAGCGTAAATTTTGCTGCTGCGAAAATTTAGAGTTGTTGCTTTATGCCAATGTGCGTGCTAGAGTGTGTGCGCTTGTGTGTGTTTTTGGGTATATATACTTCAGATTTTCATCGGCCAACCTAAAAACCCCCCTGCCCCCTGGCCAGCGGAGCCCAACCCGACCGATTGTCCATTGTCCATTGTGTCCACCAAGGCAACATTTTCCATTTTCGTTCGTCCTCTCTTTGGCCGCCGGACTTTCTCTCATATCTGCAGCTCCTTGCCAGCCGCCTTCGTCCTGGCCACCAAGCCACCAAAACCGCCCAGCCGCCCACCTCACCACCCCTTCAGTTGGTCAAAACCCCCTTTTTCGAATGTGTGTGTGTCCGTGTGTGTGTGTGTGTGAGTGTGCGGGATGCCTTAATGCTGCTGCGTGTGTGTGTACAATTACGAATTCGTCGTCCTCGACTAAACTCAATTCACTTTCTCCCTAACTCCGGCAAGCCCGCGTCGTTGTCACCGTCGTCCTGCGATGTCCTTTCACCCAACGCAACCCAACTCACCTCCCAGCCCCCCTGCCCTCCATCGACTGATTCAACCCAACCCCTCATGTCACACCTCCGGATGGCGAAGGAAATTTTCGCGTGAATTGAAAGATGAAGGCGCACTGGGCTGGACGCTGGTCACCCCCGATGGTTGGTTATATGTACACGCATGGGTCCTTGCTGATTTCCGTTCGAACGTGTGGCTGTGTGTGCGTGTGCGTGTGTGTGTGTGTCGGTGTGTCTGTGTGTGTACATATGCTAGAAGACGTGTGCGCTTGATTTTCAGCACCCATCCACCAACACCCACCCGCCCAGGAAATCTGCATCCTCTCACATTGTCTTTGTATAACTGTTCCTAAAACAAAATTTTCAGTTTTGCCTTCGAAAAGATAAATGTGTGTACACGAGTTTTCTATGTATGCTTCTTCGTGCTTGTGTGCGTTTCTCCCGGCTACATGTACACTGGGATCTACTCAAAATTTATCCCTAGATGCGTACTTGTTTGCACCTTGCCTTAAACTCGATTTGTCGCTGCCCATTTCAATCAACCCATCGATCATTTATTTCTATTTCGATCACTATCAATTGGGTTGGGGAATTCAATTCGTTACCAGATTGGACCAGAATTGACATTGATGGTTACCAAAGATTAACAAAAATATGAATCACCTGGAGTTTTCAAAATATCCACAACTGCAATTCTCAGAATTTAGTCCTTTGGAAAGTTAAACGTTGCAACAAGGTGTTGCATACTTCTAGGGCATAATGTAACATAAGAAATAAGCGTTAATATTAGATTTAATCTTTAGATTGAAATATTTGCATTACAAGTCCATACAGCATGCGCAACTATTTGATGGCAGCCAACCATGAGGTTCCTCTCACATTCACCTGATTTCATGTAGTGCAGCTATATTTGCGATGGCCAAGTAGAGCCGAGCATCGTCGCTTGGAGACAGTCTAATCCGTTGTCCGCAATTGTGCTGACCTGGGCGGTCCTGCAAGATGCCCATGCTGGCAGTTCGTTGCTACCTAACCCTGAGCGAAGCACCCTGCCTCCTTGGCCATTATCTGCAGTTTTGTCTAAGCTAAGGCGATTTGAGCAGACAAAACCGCAGCACTCGCCAGTTGCTTGGACCCAGTTCGTCCATTCGTCCTGCATGCCCTTCCTATTCTTAAAATGAGCTCGCCATGCACTCGTGGTATTCTATTTTGTGTGCTGCTGCCGTAGCTGCGCTTCTATGTTCCTATGATTTGCATATTCGAGCTCGTAGCTCCTTTGTTTTAATGCGCCTCCACCCCTTTGGTTTCGAGTCCTGAGTCCAGAGTCCTGGCTCCTTTGTGAGCAGCATTTACCTGGGTGTGTGTGTGTGTGCGAGTGTGTGTGACACTGGTCTTTGGCCAGGATGCCGCGTAAGAAGAAGGCAAACGGCCAGGCTGGAATTTGTCCTTCCAATCTAAGCCAAATGCAGGCCGTCGTCCGCTGGACGCCTTGGTCTCCTTTGCTTTTCCAGCAAGCAGGGAAATTGAAACAATTGAAGAGGCAGCCATGGATGGAGCCTTTGCTGTCCGGCTGTCCGGCTGCTCGGCAGCTCGGCAGCCCCAACAGTCCGGCATCCTGGCAGTCAGGACAACCAGACGCAGCATTTTCGACCATCAACTACTGGCCACTTACGGACTCGCCTCCACCGCATCGCATCGGCAAATGTCCTGCTGCGGAAGCCAGAGCGAGAGGGACAGCGAGCTCGAGGATGCAGCTTGCTCGCCGAGTGCGAGTGAGATGTCCTTTTTGGCCAGAGCTCTAGCAACGGCAGACGAATCCTTTTCAAAATTAAACTATATGCAGCAAGTGGAAGAGCAAGGCAAGAAATGCACACACACACACACACACAGAAGCGCACACATACTCACTACCACACCACAACCACCCAGTTTTCGTATCCTGGTCCGAGAATCAGTCGAGTGCGAGCCACATGCAAATAGCGCAGACACATGCACTTTTTCTCGTATCCTTGGTCCGTCCGCATCTTATGTATTCGGCAGAGCTTTGTTAAGATATTCTTTGCACCTAAGATGGACGACGTTAGATACGGGCGGCAGCTAGCCAGCCCGGCGCTTATATACAGGTTCAATCAGTTGCTAAT